TGGCTCAGAGTAAGCTCCCCACAGATATGAGCTATTATTATTATGTTATAGTAATATTGAGAGGAAGAAAAGAAGCCTGGAAGTACCCCTCTTAGGCTCCTGCTGCACTCAGGCGGCCCCATAGCCTTCTTCCTAATTCACTGTGCTGTTTCCGCCTAGTTTCCTAACCCTTGCAAAATGAGGGGCCTCGCCCTGGATTCCTGCACCCCAATTGTAATGAGACGGCAGCCAACCCCGAACGAGTGCCCACCAGACTGGGCGCCATGCTCGGCCCCTTGCCTGAGCCCTGAGCCTCCGTCCTGACAACTTCCCTTCCAGGCGGGCTCGTGTCTTATCCCATTGGACAGAGATGAGAAAATCGAGGCACAGGAAGGGAGCTTAGCGCCTGAGCTTCGAGAGCCAGGCAGCCTGACTCCAGTGTCCTTGCGCTGACTACCGCTGGCCTCCCGCTGATGATGTAGAAAATAAACTGCAGCGCCCCCCGGTTGGTCCATTTGGAAATACAAACAGATGAGGCCCGAAGGCTATTGCTGACCCGCCCTGTTAGGGTCGACCTTCCTGCGGGGAAGCACAGGGATAAGTAAGGGGTAACCCATCTCATCAGCTTCATCGCATGGGTGCCCCATGGGGTGGCTGACACTGAGTGAGCGCTTATTTGGCTAACGGTTTGCAGGCATAGCCTTGCTTCAGTGTTTCTCAACTGGGGGCAATGTTGTTCCCTGCCCTCCCCATCAGGCCTGGGGACATGGGAGGTTGTCACACCTGGGGGATGCTGTTGGCATCTAGTGGGTAGACTCCAGGGAGGCTGCTAAAGAGCCTACAACGGGGGCAGCCAGTTGGCTCAGGTGGTTAGAGTGCAGGCTCATAACACCAAGGTTGCCGGTTCGATCCCCACATGGGCCAGTGAGCTGCGCCCGCCACAACTAGATTGAAGACAACTCCTTGACTTGGAGCTGATGGGTCCTGGAGAAACACACTGTTCCCCAATTAAAAAAGGGTGGGGGGTCTTCAAGGCACAGGACAGCCCTTCACAATGNCAGAGTAAGCTCCCCACAGATATGAGCTATTATTATTATGTTATAGTAATATTGAGAGGAAGAAAAGAAGCCTGGAAGTACCCCTCTTAGACTCCTGCTGCACTCAGGCGGCCCCATAGCCTACTTCCTAATTCACCGTGCTGTTTCCGCCTAGTTTCCTAACCCTTGCAAAATGAGGGGCCTCGCCCTGGATTCCTGCACCCCAATTGTAATGAGATGGCAGCCAACCCCGAACGAGTGCCCACCAGACTGGGCGCCATGCTCGGCCCCTTGCCTGAGCTCTGAGCCTCCGTCCTGACAACTTCCCTTCCAGGCGGGCTCGTGTATTATCCCATTGGACAGATGGGAAAATCGAGGCACAGGAAGGGAGCTTAGCACCTGAGCTTCGAGAGCCAGGCAGCCTGACTCCGGTGTCCTTGCGCAGGACTACCGCTGGCCTCCCGCTGATGATGTAGAAAATAAACTGCAGCGCCCCCCCGGTTGGTCCATCTGGAAATACAAGCAGATGAGGCCCAAAGGCTATTGCTGACCCGCCCTGTTAGGGTCGACCTTCCTGGGGGGAAGCACAGGGATAAGTAAGGGGCAACCCATCTCATCAGCTTCATCGCATGGGTGCCCCATGGGGTGGCTGACACTGAGTGAGCGCTTATTTGGCTAACGGTTTGCAGGCATAACCTTGCTTCAGTGTTTCACAACTGGGGGCAATGTTGTTCCCCGCCCTCCCCACCCGGCCCGGGGACATGGGGGGTTGTCACACCTGGGGGATGCTGTTGGCATCTAGTGGGTAGACTCTAGGGAGGCTGCTAAAGAGCCTACAACGGGGGCAGCCAGTTGGCTCAGGTGGTTAGAGCACAGTGCTCATAACACCAAGATTGCCAGTTCGATCCCCACATGGGTCACTGAGCTGCACCCTCCACAACTAGATTGAAACAACTACTTGACTTGGAGCTGATGGGTCCTGGAGAAACACACTGTTCCCCAATTAAAAAAGGGTGGGGGGTCTTCAAGGCACAGGACAGCCC